TGAGGCCAGTGAAGCCCCTAGCGAGTGCATAACCAGTTGCCTTTGAGTCGATTCCAACTCATGGCAACCTCATGCATGTCAGAGCAGAACTGTGCTCCACAGGGTTTTCAATGGCTGATTTTACAGAAGTAGATCACCAGGACTTTCCTCTGAGGTACCTCTGGGTGGACTCGAACATCTAACCTCTTGGTTAGCAGCTGAGTGTGTTAACCATTTTCATGACCCAGGGACTCCTAGGGAGCAGATAGGGAGACAATACTGTTTTGGTTCCAAGCTCTTTCTCCCCTGAGAATCCAAAACATGCCAGACTTGGAGAGAGAGAAGGATGGGAGGAGAATGTAGAATTACCTAGGAGTACACAACACAGCCTCATCAGCTACCAAATAAGTCTTCAAGATTTATCTCTAGAACACAACCTGTGTTGGGAGATTTTCAAGAAGTGTAACCATGTCTTGATTTACTTCCTTGTTTATTGGGTACCTTTTATAATGTTAGACACGGGTGGATGTTTAATCAATGTTATGATTCTGATACTTCTGTTGCTATAAGAGGCTTGGGAAATGAACTTTGCAATGAACATTATTTTTCCAGACATAAAAGTCTGATCATAAATTTTGTCTGAATGGAGAGAAGGCTCAGAAATTTTGACTTATACTGATAGCCGTATTACATGCAATTTTGAAACTGGCCCTGATTTTGCAGGTTCCAATGGCTTAATTGGTTTCTAGTGCACACACTCCCATAAATAAATTTCAAGTCAGTCTACTTCACACGCATGAAATACTAGCATTCTGATGTGGTGTATACTAGTTCCATGTGTGAAGGCATACACAGAGAATCATGTTATCACAGCTTAAGTTAAAAATTTAGTCTTTAACTTAAAATAAACAAACAATTCTTTACTGAGCATATACTATGTGCCAAGCACCGGGCTAGATTTTATAAGGACAATGGTAAGCAAAAGATATGGCACTCATTTCAAGGAGTTTACAGTGTTGAAGACTTTTTTAATTAAAAAAGAATAACACTTTCAATAGTAGTCTTGTACTGGCCAAGCTGAACTACATTTCCAAGAACTCCCTTCCTTATAGTGTTCAGTTTAGGGTTGGCCATAGAAATCTGCATGGGTTTAGAAAGCATAAATAAAGTCACAGTCTGGTCTGTGTGTAGGGTGCAGGGTAGTGTTGCCGCTTACACATGATGTCGCTGATCAGCTTGATCACCTCTTGGCACTGGGAGGGCAGCACCTGGGTTGATGCTTCTTCAGATCCTGCAACTCTTCCTCCAATTTTTCCTATTCCTGGGCTGGGTGTGTGCACACCTCCAAGGTGAAGAGTATCAGCTTCTTCTGCAAGTCACCCAGGTCCTCGATGTTGGAGGCAGGAAGAGCAACTCGCCTTTGTTCTTCCTGTTTCATGTCCAGCTTTGTATTTCAACTGATGGCCCTGCTGACCTTCAGTGACATCAGGGCCACCATAGAAGCTGAGGTGATAGTCTTACATAGACTTCTTTATCAGCTTGCACAATTGTGTAAGGTCTAATTCCTATAACAAATCTCTTATTCCATGTCTCTCATGGTTCTGCTTCTCAGATTGAACGCTGAGTGATTAATCATCTATTCCTTAGAAGCAAAGGGGCAATGAAGAAACAGTTTTTAACACATATTCGTGTAAGTAATAAGGGTGCTTGCCAATCCAAGGAACAGACAGATGTGCCAACTCTCTTTCTGAAGCCATATACCTCCCCTTGGAAAGTGCTAACAGCCAAATTCCCAAATACCAGTCCAAATCTTCTCTGTTCTTTTCCCTCAAGCCTATTTGCCTTTCCCCAACTATTATTGAGGGGAGGCCTAAAATAAAGGCAATAGGACTGAGATAAAATGAAGAAGGAAATCTGAAATAAGAACTTCCACAGCACAGTGATGTACCTGGAGTTAAGATGTCCACAGCACAGACAGCTTTAACAACGGTTAGAAAGACTCCACTTTTCATAAGAAAATTTTCAACTTGCTGTGACAGAGATTAGTATGAAGACATACTCCCATCACTACCTATTCAGGGTTTGTTTGGGCTTAATTTCTTCCAGGCAAAAACTTCTACAAGGGATTTTTTTTTCTTCCCTAGCAAAACTGCAGAGGGAGCTGGTTACTTGGAGAACGAACAAATGCCCTTCTCAGATATGAAGGGTGATCAGTCATTGAGTTGACTGAATTCAAACACACTAAAGATCCTTAAAGAGGGTAGGCTGATGATTGATGGAAAATGGATGTTTTAAGGATGCCTTTGCCACTAGTTGAGCTAACATAGGTGGAGATCACTTGGGAAAGGTCACATAATATTGGAATTATCTGGGTTTTGTGTGTGTGTGTGTGTGTGTTTCTCTCAAACTAGACTACAAGCTTTATAAGGGCAGTGACCAGGTATCTTATTTTTCTTTGCAGCTGCATCACCAAGCACAGTAGCTGGCACAAAGGAAGTACTTAGTAAAAAAATTTTTTTAACTAAAACGACCTGGTTCTTGTCAAAGAGGCAATAAAAGCCTATTTCCCAAGAGACAATTAAAATAAATTTACCAAAGCTCAAAACCCGTTGCTGTCGAGTCAATTCCGACTCATAGTGACCATGTAGGATAGAGTAGAACTTCCCCATAGAGTTTCCAAGGAGCGCCTGGTGGATTTGAACTGGCACTTAACCACTATGCCACCAGGGTTTCTACCAAAGCTCAAGTAGTCTTAAAAGACCACAAAGTATCCCTCCATGCTGGGTCATGAAGCTGATCATGCAAACTCAAAGCAGCCCATTGCACTTTTTCCAGATAAGAAGAGAAGAAGATTCTGGATTCCCCAGGGTCTGAGCCAGAAAATTAAGGATTATTTACTTCTCTCATTCCAGTGGGTTATTCTGAAAGAGGATACAACCAACTTCTTAAACAAAACAAAATAAAACCTACTCAAATCAAACAGCACAGGAAGGAAGACTATGGGCACTAAGTTAAGTGTCACCTACCAAGTACATTTTGAAATTTCCAGATAATTGCCAAAGAGGAAATGTTGACATTGATGATAGTCGTGGACACCTATGACTTCCATGTGTGCATTCTCAGTAACATCTCTTATTCCTAGGTGTACCTGGAGAACATCACCTTCTCCAGAAGCAGAGAGGAAGCTTCACTTAGCTAAAATCAGCTACCAAAGGCCAGTCATCAAATGCTAAGTGCCTATCAGGTTAGAACCTCTTGTATGCCTAGATGGTTGGCCTCCCCTCTGACCAAGCTTTAAGGCTGATGTGTTAGTTATCTAGTGCTGCTATAACAGAAATACCACAAGTGGATGGCTTTAACAAACAGAAATTTATTCTCTCACAGTCTAGACGGCTAAAAGTCCAAAGTCAGGGCGCCAGCTCCAGGGGAAAGCTTTCTCTCTTTGTTGGCTCTGGAGGAAGGTCTTTGTCACCAATCTTCCCCTGGTCTAGCAGCTTCTCAGTGCAGGGATCCGGGGGTCCAAAGGACGCATTCCCCTCCTGGTTCTTCATTCTTGGTGGTATGAGGCTCCACTCCCCCTCTCTCTGCTCACTTCTCTCTTTCATATCTCAAAAGAGATTGACTCAAGATACAACCTAATCTTGTAGATTGAGTTCTGCCTCATTAACATAACTGTCTCTAATCCTGCCTCATTAACTTCATAGAGATAGGATTTACAACACAAAGGAAAATCACATCAGATAACAAAATGGTGGACAATCATACAAGACTGGAAATCATGGCCTAGCCAAACTGACACACACTTTAGGGGGATACAATTCAATCCATAACAGCTGATATTCATTAGGGTTTCCTGCCATCCCCCAACCCCCATTCTCATCCCTTATACTTCCCCTGAACCAGCTGACCCATTTATCATGGTTTCAGTGCTCCTCTACCCTGTTCCCTGAGCTCTAGACCTGTACAGATAATAGTCTGTTAGTCCTCTTCACCTGAATTTCCAGCTTTAAATGACAAATTGTTTATTGAACACCTGCAGTGTATCAGGTTTGGGATATATCAGGGAACAAAACACAGATCCTCGCCCTCATGGCGCTTCCATTCTAGTGACATGTGTGCCAAACTCAGCATGCTTAGACAGAACCAATTGTCTTTCTGCCTCCTGCTCCTCTGTCTCTGTACCTTCTGAGTTAACAGTATCACTACTCACCCACCTTCTTTTCCATCTCACCCTCACGAGGTACCAAACTCTGTCAAGTTTACCTCAAATTTTCTCTCAAATCAGTGACTCCTCTCCATGCTCCCATCTCTACCTATTCAGGCCTCTTTGGCCTTGTAGTGGATGCCTCTGCCTGGAATCCCTTTCCACCAGCCCATTTCCATGCTGCTACCACAGTGGTCTTTCTAAAATCCTTATCTAAGTACATCACTCCTCTGCTGTGACCACTACCCACAGCTCAGAGGATATCAGACCCTGTGTGATTTGGTCCAGCCTCTACCGTCAGACCTAGTTTTCATTACACTCCCATGTTACAGTTATGTCCAATTGAATCCCTCATTCATTTACTTCCATGTTCTTGTCCTCTAGCATGTTTATCCCCTTGCCTCAGCTTTCACTCCTTTTTTTGGCCTGAGAGTCCCTACTCATCCTTCAAGGACCAGCTCAACTGATATTTCTTCTTAGAAATGCCTACTTCCTCTACTCAAGTAGGCAGTTAGTGGCTTCCTCCTCCAATTTAATTATGAAGTGTACTGATCTGCTTACCCATGTGCCTCCCTGACCAGACTGAGAACTCAATGAAGTCAAGGATCATGTGGTCTACTTTGGTCTACCCCAGGAACCTTTAGCACCATGTCTGGCATGTAGGAAGTGTTCAAATTAACAGCTGCTCATTTTTGATAATTCTGTTGCATGCCAAGATAAAGGCCCTTTGCTCATCAGTAAGGATCCCTAATTCTGCAGAAATAATTCTTCTCTTTCTGTGGACAGGAGGTATCAGATTAAATAAGGTATCACTCACTTCACTTCTGGAGGCAACAGCCCGGTGCAGTGGGGTCAGCCACATGTTGTCCTTGGCATTAACACGAGCTCCTGGAACCAAATGGCACAGGTTAGAGGCATTTTGGACTCAAGGGAAGTTCCGCTGATGTCATGTAAAATGTTGTATCTTGCTCCCATTTGCCTGGTACACTACTAGCTTTTCATTTTCTGTGTGTCACCCATGGGCTTTCTAGCCTCTGGACAGGATGAGACACCCAGCACAGGGGAGGGAGCAAGGCCAACAGCCAAGAATGTCACAGATTTGGGTAAAGGCTATATGTGAGATGCAGGGTCCCTCATTTGGATAGGAGACACAGAACATTTAAAGAAATCGGAGGTACTCTAGGACTATGGAAATGTAGGTTCTGAAAAATGAAGAATTTTTCAGGAAAACATGTATATATTCCTGAATATAACACATATACTCATATATATATATATACAGTCATGCATCACTTAACATCCACAATATGTTTTGTGAAATAGAACATTACGTGATTTGAATGTTGTGTGAACACCATATCATATACAGGCAGTCCCTGCGTTATGAACATCAGACTCACCGACAACTCGTACTTAAGAATGGACTGCTGTAAAGTCTATTATATTAAAAATTTGAATTAAATACAATGGTTCATGATAATGAACACGCACACTACTTTGTGATGCTCATGAAAATATTGCAGCGTTTGGAAGTGTTTCTTAAGTGTTAGTCTGCTTCGTCCCATTCTCGGATTGGGATTTTGGAACTCTATTATAACCTTATGGGACCACAGACATATATGCGGTCAGATGTTACCCGAACGGATGTTATGTGGTGCATGATTGTATATACATATATGTATACATATACATGCGCACATTAAAACCTGTGAAAGCCAGAACTTGTGTAAGGTGGAAACCTGTCAGAGAAAGAAAACTCAAATATTTTCCACTAATAGACAGCAATAGAAAAGTGGTAAATTGCACTGTCAAAGGCAGAAAACTTGTGAGATCAGGAAAAACAAGGTAGTCCCATCGCGTTCCAGCTCTCACAGGTTTCACTGTATAGGCAGTCCCCAGGTTATGAACAACATCCATTCCCAAGCCTGTCTTTAAGTCAAAATTTGTAGATAAGTTAGAACAGGTACATATGGTTCTTATTTAGTGTCAGTTAGCCAACTGTTTCTTAGTATGTAGTATATATTTTACCTTTTTATGCATATAAAACACTTAGGAAACATTACCAAACCACGCAATGTTTTCATGAGCATCAACAAAGTAGTACATGCATTTGTTTTTGTATTTAACTCAAATTTTTAATATAATAGACTTTATGGCAGTCCGTTCTTAATTACGAGTTGTCTGTTAAGTCAGATGTTCGTAACCTAGCCACTGCCTGAATATTATCATATATTTATACCTATATATATGTATACATACATATAATCAGATATTTTATTTTATTTTTAATCATTAACTGTGTATGTATGTGTAAAAATAGCATGGGGGCAGTCTCTGACCTCCTCCAACCCCACAAGCGGTAAGAAAAACCAAAATCAACAGCACAAGACTGACTCCCATGCGGTGCAGACCACACAAGCCTCCTCTCTCTGCCATCTTTACTAATTCTGACATCAACTGTCCCTCGCATAATACTCTCTACTCTCTGCTGGGTCTGATAATTCATTGCATTGGCCACACAGAACCCACAGATCATACTCATGATTATGGGGTTCATTAGAGAAATAACAGTTACAATTCAGGCTCAGGAACCCTCAGGATACAGTTCTTCCATCAGGACAGCCTCTTCCTGACTGTGCTTGCAGGCACTCCTCTCCCTGGCCCTAGGCCTCTCCCCAAAGGCACTCAGCTTCCTCTCTCCATGGGCGTGGAAGCCCACCGCACTGTCTTCTGCTGTCGGGTCTTTGCTGCTGGCTCTTTGCTGCCGGGTTTCCCTGCCACCACTTCTCACCGTCTTCAGGGTTACAGCTTTCTCTCTCTTTCTCTTGGTCTCCTGCTTCTGGAGCTTCTCACCGCAGGGATCCCAGGTCTAAAGGACACACTCTCAACTCCTGGCTGTTCTTCCTTGGTGATGGTAGGATCCTCCTCTCTGCTCTGGAATTGGCTCTCCTTTAAGGCAAATGACCAATCCCCTCAGTGGGCCACAATTACAGTCCTGCCCAATCACCTGGGTGGGAGTCACAAGATCATGGCTAGAAAGTCCACACAAAAGTAATCAATTGCACACAAAAGTAATCAATTGCACCGCAGTGTGTATACATATGTATGTGTGTGTGTGTGTGTGTGTGTGTGTGTGTGTGTGTGTGTGTGTTTATATATATGCCACAATACCCTTCTTGGCAAACTATCAGAAGTGAACAACCTTCAAATGAATACATACTGGATGCCAGTTAGAGTTCAAACAAATCTTACAGAGTTGAGTTCTGATGAGATCTGATCTGGGCTGAGGGGATGGGCAGAAATTTGCTTTATCCAAGAATCCCCAATATTTCTGAGGGACTAGCTAGACATTGTGGTAGGAAGAAGCCAGCTTGTGGAGCTTTTGAATAGAGACAACATTAAGCCAATGTGGATTGCTCACGGCTCCCTCACACTATGAGGTGGGCAGAGAGGCTCAAGCACATGTCCCAACCAGCTCACACTCAGAAATGTGCCTCATGCTCAAGTCTCTGTAAGCCACATCACTATCATGGAGCAGAGGCACTGTGGCTGAACAGATTCACAGGAAAGTAGAGTATGCTCTCCTGGATAACACCTCACAATTCTGCACAATCACAAGCTTGCTAGTCTATTTCTGAACCACTGTGATACCCAGTATGAGTTTCCTTTTTGGGGGTTCTGGGTTTTGCTCATTCTTCTTCTGGTCAGAGATGGAAAGTTTTATAAAAGGGCTACAAAAGAGCAAAAGGAGAAAAAATGCACGATATCTTTGCAGATGTAATAAAAGGCGCCTATTTCAGCCTTCTACCACTCGTCTGTCAGTTTATCTTACTGTGGTGGCTTGCATGTTGCTATAGTGCCAGAAGCTATGCCACCAGTATTTCAAATACCAGCAGGGTCACCCATGGTGGACAGGTTTCAGTGGAGCTTCCAGACTAAGACAGACTAGGAAGAAAGGCCTGGCAATTTATTTCCAAAAGCAAATGAAAACCCAATGTATCACAACAAAATATTGTCTGATATAGTGCTGGAAGATGAGCTTCCTGGGTTGGATGGTACTCAGAGTAACACAGTGGCCACAACAATGGACTCAAGCATCCCAGTGATCGTGAAGATGGTGCAGGACTGGGCAACATCTCCTTCTGTGGTACATGAGTAGCCATGAGTCATAGTCAACTCGACTGTAACAATCAGCAACATTTCAGCCTTTGGACAATGAGGAACAAAGCTCAGGAGAGAAAAGAGTAGAGGGATGAATCAAAGAAACTAGAAAGTAAAGCTGAAGAAAGGAAGTACAAAGGAAGTGTCTCAGGGACAGGGCCAAGAAAGTGAGTCAAGTGCAAGCAGGGGCTGACTAATCGTGAAGCCAAGGTGAGCTGACAGTGCAAAAATGGAAGCCTTCTATAAAGGCAGCATGAGATTTTCATGGGTAAAAGTGAGCTGGAAGTTTGGTTTAAAACACTGGCTAAAAGGAAATAACACATCATAGAATTTACACTATTTTTTTTTCTTTAACTGAAGGAAAACAAATACTATCAACAACATTAATTACAGAAAACAAAAACATAATAATTTCTAAAAGCAAAGAGAGATAGAATTCCTGTCCCCACTTCCAACTCTGATTTTATTAGTTTGAGATGGGGCCAGGTACAATATTTTTTCAAAAGCTCCCCAGGCCCCCAGGTTATTGTAATATGCTGTGAAGGTTGAGAACCACTGATAAATTGTTTGAAAATTATTTGAATCCTAATTTCATTAACTCCAGCCAGGCAGCTCACCTGAGAGGGTTCAAGCCCCAAACATCAATAAGCATCAAACTAAAGCCAGTTTGGGTATGCTAAGAACCAAAAGGAGTCCCTGGCGTGTGCAAACAGTTAACATGCTCTGCTGTTAAACAAAAGGTTGAAGGTTTGAGTCCACCCAGAGGCACCCCAGAAGACAGTCCTGGTGATCTACTTCTAAAAAGTCACCATTGAAAACCTTACAGAGTACAGTTCTACTCTGACACATGGGGTCACCATGAGTTGGAATCGACTTAATGGCAACTCGTTTTATTTCAAGGATGCTTTCTGGTTGAAAGAAAGACCAAGAATTACTGTCTCAATTGAACTAGTTAAGACTGAAACTATAAAAATGTGCCTATCACAATGAACAGCAACAAACCTATTTTACTTTATTCTTTGATCACATAAGTAATACAAGAATGCATTCTTCTTTCTAAAAAAGTAGATCGTTACAGATTTAACTAAAGTCCCTTTGATTATCACACCCGATGCTGGACTTTCTCCACTCCCTCAAGTTAACCACCACTCTGAGTCTAGTTGCTTTTATGTCTCGTATGCAAATAGGTGTATCCACAGAAAATCCAGAGAATTAAGTTGGGTGGCAAGTACAACAGTGTTCATTGTATTATTCTTTTTGTATATTTAAAATATTGTGCAATAATTTTTAAAAGGAAATGTATACCATTGTTTTATAAGTATGTTTTTTTTAATATTTGTATCATATTGTATTGATACTTCAAATTTGCTTGTTTCACTTGATATTTTTTTTATATCTATCCATGTGGGTACTTACAGAACAAGTCCATTCCTTTTTATTTTATTCCACCATATAAATATACCACATTTTTCATTTATTCCCTCTATTGACAGATATTTAAATTGTTTCCAGTATTTCACTATTTAAATGTTTCTATGAACATACATAAAATGGATCCTTGTGCAAACATGCAAGTACACCTACTCCTCATTTAACCTCTAGCTCATTATCCAACATCTTGCATTTACGATGAGAGTAAGAAGTCTACTATCCAACTATTTTGCATACTAATGACATATGTCTGACAGTCACGAACACCAAAGTGCGAGGCTAGACTAAAACTGGCT